TCGGATAAGAAAAAAATGGTTAAAAGAAGCAGCATAGAAAATAGAAGAGTTATATAACCCAGTTGTGAAAATTTAAATAGAAAATATATTATGTAAAGTAATTTTAGAAGGCTTTCTTTTAAGGAGAGGTTGAATAAAGATTCAAAGTAAACTAAATAAATCTGGGCATGGTGGCTCACTCTTATAATCCCAGCACTTTCGGAGGCCAAGGCAAGAGGATTATTTGAGCATGGGAGTTTGAGACCATCATGGGCAACACGGTGAGACCCCATTTCTATAAAAAATACTAAAAATAGCCAGGTGTGATGGCTCACACTTGTAGTCCCATCTACTTGAGAGGCTGAATAAAGACAGAAAAGAGACATCAGAAAACCTTCAAGCAGCATATTTGTGTATACCCAACAGCTGAAGTATAGTCTTGTCATGTCTTTCTATAAATGGACTTAAACCTGAATTTGGGAATTTAATACGAAAAAATAAACTGAAATGTGAAATTGCCAATTTGCAAAATATCCAATGTAGAGCTAGACATTTCCAGATAGACTTAGAAAGTAAATGCTAGAAATCAATACAAGATATGGCTTTCTAGATAAGGCATCCAAAAGGGCCTCTGTTCTCAAAGATTTGAGAGCTGAGATAAGGATCCCTATACACATTAGTATATTGCTAGCAGAAGGAGCCTTGAAAGAATGAACATCTCGTGTTGGCTAAAAAGCAAAATGACAACGATATACAATCTATCTAATAAAGCCACTCCAAGGAAGGTATTTTCACTCAACAATTTCTTTGTTTTTTTAAACTTTCAAGGAGAATTTTCTATAACTAGATATACAACTATATAATGTTTTTGTTTATGTGGGTGTCAGTATAACTACCAGTAACCCCACTATTATAGAACAAGAGATCATTCCATGTACATTTTTAAAGTTGTCTGAAAAACAGAAAAGCAAATTGACTTGTAGCAAGTTTTTAAAAATTAAAAACAAACAAAAAATTCAATAAAGCTATTGGTGGCTGGATGCAGTGGTTCACGCCTGTCATCCCAGCACTTTGGGAGGCTAAGGTGGGCAGATCACCTGGGGTCAGGAGCTCGAGACCAGCCTGGCCAACACCCTGTTTCTACTAAAAATACAAAAATTAGCCAGGCACGGTGGCACACACCTGTACTCAGGAGGCGGAGACCAGAGAATTATTTGAACCTGGGAAGCAGAGATTGCAGTGAGCTGAGATCAGGCCCCTGCACTCCAGTCTAGGCAACAGAGTGAGACTCCATTAAAAAAAAAACAAAAAAAACAAAAAAAAAACCTATTGGTTATAGGTGATACCAGGTAGTGAAACAAGATAATGAATGACAAATTGACAAATTTCTGGCATATAGTAAATTTTTCAAAAGCTTGAGAGAAAATCAACTTTATTTAATGAAACGATTCAAGTAGTAACAGTCTTTAACAATCCTGTATGCCAACTTATAACTGATATTTTCAGATCATTATCAAAATAATACTTCTTTAACCTATGACATACCTGCAATAGGTAGGATCTGCTTCCAAATAAAATGTGCTGCAGCCCTTGTTCATGATGAGATTATAACTGATCTAGATGTGAGAATGCCTACACCACAAATTTTAAAAATTACTATAGAAATTCTGATGGTCCTAGAATCTCTGTGGACAAGAGACTCCACAACTAGAAAATTTAATTGAAGTAGAATGCATAAGAGTTAAGACTGATTCTTCCTAGGTTATCATGAACATTCCTTTTCATGCAAATATGAAAATACCAGTGGGGGGGGGGCCATGCTCTGGGTGGATTAAGGTGACAGCATAGCACCTGTCAAAGAACATTGCTTATTTTAAGCTCACCGCTTAATTCAGTAACCTGGATCAAGGGCAACTCATCTCAATCAAGATTCTTTTAAAATTTTCTTATCTTAGGATTTGTAACCAAGTGTGTTCTTGTATAAGGTTGTAAGGCTGAGGTGTTTGTGTTGAGTAACTAGATCTTTGATTAAGAGATCTACCATTAGGTAATTGTCTTAGATCTGTGTAAAAGACTTCAAACCTCTTGTCATGAAGCTGTACTGTTTGGCAAATGGTGTCATGCTATTCATCTACGTAGCCTAATGATGCTTGCTTTGCTTTTGCTGTTGTTTGTCTACATGTATAGTCTTTTTATATAGGTTGCTCTTCTAGGTGTAGGTCTGCTGCAGGGATCATATAGGAATTAAATATATGCATAGTTTCAGTATCATTGGTGGCCTATAATTTTGAGAGTCAGAGGGTTATTAACTTTGTCTATTATATATAGAATGAATAAGGATAGGAGGGCAATTAGGGTTAGATTAATAGAAGGTAAAATAGTTCACACTATCTCTACCTCCCAGATGTCTACAGTACCTGTGGAGATTATCGGTGTTAGCCCCTCTGTTGTGAAAGTCAGGCCACCAGAGATGGACTCACTCCAGTAAATACCCATTGGACGACAACCAATCAGCAACAGCTTCTCCTACAGAGGATGCCATCTATCCACATCTCAACAATCCACCAACCCCTGAGGCTCCATACCTCCCAAAAGCGCTGTTTTAGGTCAGCATTCTGCTCTGCTCAGGCAAACTGCCTGGACAGCACAGCCCCTACTCACTCTAGTAAGGAAGGTATTTTTCTTTGTCATTTTATTTCAGATCTCTAGCAGTGGCTTTCTTGTCCTTTGACAAGGGCAAGGCTTATCTGTCTTGTGTTGCCAGATCCCAGCTCAATGTCTGACTTAGGTTAGGATTTCATGGCATGTATTTGAATAAAACCCAGCAGATAAAGAAATGATAGAAGTGTTGTGGTGTCCCTAGGGAACAGCTAGCTGGTGGTAGAACTCATTTAGAAGCTTTGACACCCACTCCCACTATCACAGAACAATCAGGAGGCCTGGTTCGTAATTAATCCTTCAACATAACGTAAGGACAGAGGCAGTCACATATTATATTTAGAGTAGTGGATTATTTAGAGTCCTTTTGCTAAGTCAAGGGACCCATTTTCAAAACTGATCTGGGAGAGGTAGAGAGAGGAGAGAATACACAAACACACACACACACACATACATATATACACATATATATACACACATATATACACACACACATATGTGTGTGTGTATCTATATAAAAAGCACAAAGATGTTATAATGCTTTGCTTCTGCTATCACCAAAGCAGAGAAATGAGAGTGCCTTCATCCTTTTACAACAAGCCTTGGGATGGAATTGTAATTAACTTTCTCCTTCTGAAGCTGTGTTTGGGGTTGACTGTAAATCATATTTGCCTGAATAAACATCAGGGGAGAGGAGGATTCATAAAAGGAGGACCCTTGGAGGTGACCAGTCTCCTTGTTCCTGGCCTGGAATTTGAGTGGACGCTTATATGCACGGAACATAGCTTCAGGTGGTCTGATGGAAGCTTCAGTGTTCTTACCCATCAGCACTCTGTTCAGCTTAGAAATCGAAGAGTTCAGAGTTTCCCAAATTCAGTACACTTGACATTTTGGTCTGAACAATTCTCTGTTGAGGAGCTGTCCTGTGCATTGTACAGTATTTAGCAGCATTCCTGATCTCTCTACACGACATGCTATTAGCACCCCATCCTCAAGTCTTCATCATCCGAAATGCCTCCAGACAGCCTAAATGTTTCCTGGGGGGCAATATCACCATTCGCTGAGAAGTGCTGCTATAGGTAAAAGAACAGGTAGCCTCTAACCCCTCATTTTCTTCCTTCCTCTAAGATGATGCCCTTTTGCCTCAGCTACACCTCTGGTCCCTCTGAGTTTGACTGACTGGGGGTGGTTAGAATTAGCTACTGACTCTAGAAAACACATACAGAGCTCAGGGTGCATGTCTATTTCCCTCCCTAGACCAAACTCTTCATGGGCAAAGACAACATCTCTATCATTATCTTACTTCTTGCACTAAGCCTGTAGTATGCGCTCCATATGCTTGTTTCAGAGCCAACAACAGAAAATGGGGACTGTGTAGACTTCTGCTCTAACTTAAATGTGTGAATTAGATTCAAGGAATCTTCCTTGGTAATGAAGGGGAGCAGTCTTCAGAATCATGAGTCATAGGGCCAGATTATTAACAGTCAACAAAAAAACAGGAGTGGGAGAAGATGAGAAAAGCTCCTCGCTGTTGCTAAAGTGGTTGTCATGCAATAAATACCTCTCATAGAGAGCTGGGGAATTCTCTTTCCTGGATTTTTAATTTCCTTCTGCAGCTTTTCTCATGTTCAGGAAGGAAGACAAGTAGTCTTCAGTCACAGCTACAACCTAATAGGGCTGTAGGGGATAGACCCAGAAAGTAGCACCCCAAGGCAGTGGAAGCAGATAACAAATGCAGGCTCTGGGACCAATGCAGGCAACATCTTCAGTCTTACGTCAGGATGGGAGGTTGCCACAGAATGACAGTAACCTAGGTGATACCATATTTTTAATAAATCGGTTGCTGTAATTTGCAAAGAAAAAGAATAGACTAGGATGAAGTGCTAATCTGCATCGCCTGACACACGGCAGTCTTCTTATCAAATCGTGCTCTCATCCCTGCCTCCCCTCCTCCTGGAACACCCCCATTCTAAGTGCAGGAAGCTGCTAGTTTTTTCCAGTATACTGAATCAGTGTACCCCAGATACCAGCTTATCCAGATGTTCTAAAGAGTGTTATAGATCCATAGAATTTGGGGGCCAAAGGGGACCCTGTAGAATGAGGCAGTCCGAACTTCTCGTGTTCTGTATGTTTAACAAATAACTCATTAGAGAAGGAAAATGATGTGATTAGCTCTGTGAGAGGGAACATGTCAGAGCAAAGTATATCTATGATGCTTTCTTCCAGTCTCCCAGTTTACTCCCCTAACTCCCAAACACAAAAAGTTCCATTTTCTACAAGTGTGGGGGATGGGGCAGGTGGCCTGGGGATATAGCCTGTACAGATACAAGTCGAATATTTTTAAGGATTGCTGAGATACCCACCTCCACAGCTTCGGATATGGGTGAGACGCTATTGGTCTTCCTGGAGCCCACGCGGAACTTGGCAGCCTTGTAGATCTTCCAGTACACGAAGAGCACCACACAGAGCGGCAGGTAGAAGGCGCCTACGGTGGAGAACACTGCGTAGGAAGGCTCGCGGCTTACCTGGCACTCCTCGCTGCCCTCAGAGTACGTCTCTCCCCAGCCAAAAAGCAGCGGTGCCAGAGAGATGACAGCGGAGAGCGCCCAGGTGAGCGCGATCATGACGTTGGAGATGCACTTGCGGGTGCGGAGCGTGTATTCCAGGTGGCGTGTGATGGACCAGTAGCGGTCCAGGGCTATGGCCGTCACGTTCCAGATGCTGGCCGTGCAGCAGAGCACGTCGCACGCGATCCACAGCTGGCACAGCCGCCGACCCAGCTGCCAGCGGCGCCCAGACAGCTCGTGCACCAGGCTCAGCGGCATGACCAGCGCAGCCACCAGGACGTCCGAGATGGCCATGGACGCCACCAGGTTGTGGGGCACGCGGTGGAAGGTGCGTACACGGAGGATGGTCGCCAGCACCAGCAGGTTCCAGGCGAACGTCGCCGCCACCAGAAAGCCCAGCAAGGTGAGAATAAGCACTCCGAAGACCGAGAGCAGGGGCGAGCTGGGGCGCAGATCGTCTTTGCCGAGGCTGCGGTTGGTCTCCAAAGGGGAGGGGGTGGAGAGGGAAAAGGAGGTTAGGTTCACAGGTAAATCCATCTCTGGGTCAGGAGACCGGCCTGGGGTACTTGCAGAAGGGGTGTTCAGGAGAACTTAAGGTGGCCGCTGTGCCCAGAGCCAATCCGGATGTTTGCAAACTCTGGCCAGTGGTGGAGTTTCTGGAAAGTGCCTGTGAATTTGGCCCCAGTATCCTGCTAATGAGCATCCGTTGGAGATGGTGTGGTTGCAAGCGCGGCAGGTCTGAAGCCCTCAGAGGCTAAGGAAGCAGAGGCGAGGGGCTGCGTGTTGCAGCCAGGGCCCGCCTAAGCTGTCAGGAGCCCAGGGCTCCTCGCCTTGGTGGAAAAGGCTGTCTGGCCGCCCAGAGCCAAGCATCTCCCAGATCGGGGAGAAGCTGGGCGGCCAGCCGCGAGTGGATGCAGGAGAGGGGCTGGTGCGCCAGAGCAGTCGCTCTCACCGCGTTGCCTCCCTGCCCACCCTTCTCTCTAGGCAGCCGGCTGCAGCCTTAACTCCGTGCTAGGGAAGCCAGTTTTGGGGGGACCTGCTTTCTGGGACCTGCCTTCTGTCCCAGTTGCCCCCGCCACCCCGTCTGAGGCTGCGGCTCCGGAGAGCGAATGCTGGCGCGCCCACCGAGACCTGCCTTATCCAAGCGGAGATCTAGCCCTACGTAAGCCATCAGCTGATAAAGCCGTCTCTCCCCGCCTCCTGGCTCGGAGTGCAAGGCTTTGAGGCTGTCCGCGGTGCTGCCGCTCTCCCCTTGCCCGGAGGCTCCCAGTGCGCGCCCCCACTTGTGGTGCTGTCCGCGGTGCTGCCGCCTCTCCCCGCCCGGGCGCAGGAGGGTTGGCGCTGTCCACGGTGCTGCCGCTCTTGCCTGAAATGGGTTCGCCACGTGGAACAAGTTGACCAATGAACTTTCCTCAAAACGTTCCCCTAGCCATCCACACATGTCCCTCTAGGGGTGGTCTGGAGGCCCTAGATACTGCTTTCTCAGCTTTCCGTAAGTATTTGCTCTTCCTACAAGAGTTCCGAGTTAGGGGTCTAAGATAGTTTCACTAACTTTTGTTCTCCGGAAGATTTCAGCACGATTGCTTTCTTCTTACCCAGTTCTCAGTTGCTTCCCTTAAGGGTTGTTTTCCTCAAAGGAGGAGAAGCAAGATAGCAGTTGCTGCTGTTCCGAGAGATGGCTGTCGTGTTGGAGCTAGAATGCTTCACCTAGCTCCAACATGAATGGCTGAAGAATGTTTTCTCTGCTTAGAGTCATAAGGCAGCTGGGTAGTCTCCAGTGGCCCCTACTAAATTTGCTTCCTGAGAAGGAAAAATTGGAGTATAAGTTATTATAAGAGCTCCATCTCACTCAAAAGAAAGAGGTTCTCCCCTCACATATGCACACAAAACAACCACAGAAATTGAGAAAATATCAGAAGCTTCTAACCAGAAATTATGATTTAAAGCACTTCATAAATAGGCACATGATATAGCAATATAAAAAAAGCTGAAATTTTAAAAATGATGTGATAGAAATGGCAGAAAAAAAGTAAGGTGTTAATAAACTTTGTTTTTAAGTATATAAAATGAGTGTCGTGAAATCCTGTGCATTTACAAGCAAATTTAGTCAGAAACATTTTGGCTGTTTAAAGATTAGCAACATGTGTTGATATAAGATTTTGTTTCTTGCAGAGTAAAACAAGTATCAGGCGAATGCACTGAGAAAATAGAAAGTCCTCCACTGGATCCCAGAAGATGGGACAACATCATTAAATACAGGATTATTCACAGGGCTATTTCAAACACCACTTAAAAACAGCTGATGGTGACTACCTGTGTGCAGTGCAACTGTGCATGGCCCCAATCAAGAAGCAAGCTTGTGCTTGTTTAGGGCACATCACCTTCTTGAGGCCATGGAACTAATGGGAATGAGATGTAAACTATGATTCCTCTTATTTGAAAAGAGTTCTGCTTCTAGTCTCAGGGCCTGTGACCTGGAGGAATGGATGAGCTGTGTTGCTCACAGGCAGGCCTCAATGGATCTCTCTCTACAAATCTCGAAAGGCATTGTGGGCTGGTGATTGTATTTCCTACTGATTCCCCAGGCCACAGCTGTCTGTATTGATAGCTAAGTGAGCAGCAGAACAGTTAATAGGAACAAAGCCAAGGATAACTGAGGATAATTTGTGAAAAATAGAGTGTCATAAAGTTAGGGCCTGAACAGAATATTTCCACAAAGAGGAGATCCAATGGAGCATTTCAAGAGGGGATAAACCTTGTTCAGAAAGTCTGGTTTATCTCTTAAAACTACACAAATAAAAAATCATAACATTTCAGCTTCATCTTAAAGCATAGCCCCAATTTTATCTTGAAAAACACTGAAAAGGAAAAAATCTGAAAAGGTATAAAACTCCCATCTGCCATATGGTACCTCTGAAATGGCAGTATTGGGAAATATAATTTCCTGGGTTGTCACCTGATATAGGTTAAATTGTGTCTCTCCCTCCCCCTCCCTTACCCCCTGCCAGATTTATATATGGAAGTCCTAACCCTGAGAACCTCACAGTGTGACTATATTTAGAAACAAGGTCTTTAAAGGGATGATTAAGTTAAAATGAGGCCATAGGATAGGGTCTCATTCAATCTGACTGATATCCTTATGAAAACAGGAAATTTAGACATGCAAAGAGACACTAAGGATGTGTGTGCACAGGACAGACCCTGTGAGAATAAAGTGAGAAGGTGGCCATTTACAAGGCAAGGAGAGAGATATTAGAAGATACCAGAACTGGAAGATTAGAAGATATCAGGATTGGATTTCCAGCTGCCAGAACTAGGAACAAATAAATTTCTAGTGTGAGCCACTCAGTCTGTGGTACCTTTTTATGGCAGCTCTAGCAAGCTAACATACCATGCGACAAAAGATACTAGCAAAAGATACAACCACGTAACTGAACGAGGTGCTACACTGGGGGCAGAGGGAATTATAGACATATAAACACATCATGGGACATCTACTAAAACCTTTCCTTTACAAAATGTAGTTTGCAGCCATCTAGCAATCATTCGAGTGCAGAATCAGTTGTCTATTGAGGTTACCTATGGTTTGTAATCAAGTAATGTCATTGGCATATACAAAAATACTTATTTTAGATTTTCCATAATGGGAAGGTATGAATCTATTTCATTTAAGTAGGAGCTCATTTTGTTGTTGTTGTTGTTGTTGTTGTTGCTTCTGGTTTTTGAGACAGAGTCTCGCTCTGTCGTCCAGGCTGGAGTGCAGTGGCACAATCTCGGCTCACTGCAACTTCCGTCTTCTGGGTTCAAGCGATTCCCAGCTAATGTTTTTGTAATTTTAGTAGAGATGGGGGTTTTACCATGTTGGCCAGGCTGGTCTCGAACTCCTGACCTCAAGTGATCCACCCCTGTCAGCCTCCCAAAGTGTTGGAATTATAGGCCTAAGCCACCACGCCTGGCCAAGACCAATGAATTTTAATCTAACAGCATACAAAACATGCGAGATACAATTTCAGATCCCACATCACAGCAAACCTTTAAGGTACTACCACTCATTGGGTTTTAATACAGCATCATAGAAAAAAAATATCCATAATTATCTGAAAAGAGTATTAAAATACTCTATTTTCAACTGTATATCTGTATGAAAGTAGATGTTCTTCACAATCTTAAACTAAAATAACATATCCCAACAGATGGAACGTAGAAACATTTGTTCCAGATGTCTTGAAGAGATTTGCAAAAATGTTAAACAACGTCTTTCAGAAAAATTTTGTGGAAAATAATTATTTTTCATAATGAGGTGTCATTTATATAAACTTGTAATGGGTTTATTATTTTATGTTTAATAAATAAATACACAAATATGTTGAAAATGTCTCCAGTTTATTTTCCAGTAAATATTAATGTGTATAACCCATGTAAACAAAAGCTCTTTCGGGTACTCAATTTTAAAGAATATGAAAGGGTCCTGAGACCACAGCGTTTGAAAATTGCTGTCATCAGAACATCACACTGATCCACCGTGTTGATGTGGGATGTTAATAAGACAAGACAAGCAAGAAAAGAAGTCTCAAGTTTGTTAGAGTCCTCGGTAAAATACGTGTGCTCCAAAATGTGAGAAATAATTTTGTCTTTGAAAAATCAGACGCCCACGACGTCATTGATGATGTTAGGGCTTCAGTGGCCCGGAGTGTGACAGGGTATTCCTTTCATTATAAAAAAATATACATATTGCATCTGGTACCTCCCCCTACTGGAAAGGAAACCTAATGCTTGGTCAGCACTTTGAATGCCAGAGGCAGCTGCTCTGATTCACATCCTGGTGATGTGGAAAGGCTGCCAGGTTCGGTTAGGGCTAAGAGTAGGAAATGTCTCTAGCAGAAGTCCTGGCTGCAGTGAAAGCAGTCCTACTGCTTGGGTTTTCTGATTTGCAAAGCTTATGTTACTAGGAGTACCTGTAATGGGAAAAAAAAACTCCATGAGGATTTTATGATAAACACTAGTAAAAGAGTCACAGTATAGACCCCGAGGGTTCTGGAGGAAAGTCACCCCATCTACAACAGGAAACATTACACTGTTGGAAAAGCAGTTTGTGTAAGCCAGGGCTCTGGCAGAAATAGAGCATCTGAGTATGAGACATTAAGTGACGCTGGAGCAAAATATAACCATCAAGATGTGGGATTTTGCAGACCCACCCACAAGATTGGGTGGGCTCAGCAGCAAAACAGCATGAAAGAGAAGTGGTGCAGAGCAGAGCTGGAGGGTGCAAGCCAGCTCCACAAGAGGTGGCCCAGGCCACCCTGCTGCCTGTCATCACTGTACAAGCATCTACCCCTCAGCTCAAAGCCCTGGCTGCATGTCCAGCTGATGGGGCACCAGCAGGGCCGAGGGGGATTCACAGGTGGGTCAGCCTGCTGTGTTGCTGCAAGTCAGAAAGAAGACTGCTGCTGTCTCGTGTCTAATCTGGGTGGCCTTGGGAGACAGCAGTCAGGGGAGACCCTTCCAAGGGGCAGAGCTCTAGGTGCTGCACCTGATCTTCCATTTTATGTGGAAAGGGGAACAGCCTGAAGGAAGACTGGATACAGACTCATGAGCAGTGGCTAAAGGTCTGGAAGGTGAATGACTGGAAGGAAGGAGGTCTGTGAAAGAGGCTTGTAGATGAACCAAAGGGAATAAGGACAAAGTGTAGATGTTTTTATGACTTTTAACATCCTCCAGAGAGCATCTACTGCAGAATGGAACACTGGAGACAGGATGGCTCAGTCCACCGGTGACAGCCTGTCACTTGTCCACCCCAGTTCAGCACAATAGTTGAGTGGATTAGCCATGGTGGCTGGGAGGGAAGCCATGCACGGCTGAAGCAGCATGGTGTCTCTCAGCAAGCATGGTCTAGTTACTGCTGCCTAACATCCAACCTGCCAGTCATGGAGACCAGTGCTGAACCCCCAAATTGGCATATCCCCTAGGGAGATCGTCAGCCACCTTGAAGGGCGGCTATTCATTGGCAGGGATGGGTCTGCCTCTCCTGCCTGCAGGGTCTCAGCCAGATCACTCTCCAAGGACCTTTGTAAGTTTCCATCCTCTGATACAGGATTGCATTCAGCATCCTTGTGAACCAGTGACCCCACTTTACAGCAATGAGCACATGGCCTTGGGTCCCTTCACAGACCACTTGTTGCAAGTTGAGCTGCACTTCTCCCCGAGTGAGAAAAAAGAAGTGTTGAAGTCCTCACCCCTGGTATCCATGAATCTGACCTTCTCTGGAAATAGGGTCTTGGCTAATGTAATCAAGTTAAGATCGTACTGGATTAATGTGGACCCTAAATCCAGTGACAGTGACCTCATAAGGAGAGGGAGATGTGAAGA